TGTCCGTGAAGCACTAAGGAAACGATTTGCAGGTATTTGGGAGGACAAGAAGCTTCTCCTGGCAGCCTGCTTACACCCTCGTTTCAAAGTGGACTGGTTGGAATCAGCTCAGACTGCCCAGATCAACAGGTAAAAAAGTGAGGGGAGCCCTTCAGGTGGATCAGACCAAGGTGGGGAGGTGCATTATATCCATCATTCTGAGGTTTTTCCCCACAATGGTGACCCATCATGATGACCTTGGGATTTATTTGTTTATTGGATTTATAGCCTGCTTTTCTCCCAAACTGGGATCTTGCAACAACCATTCATGTGGTCCACAGTCTCCCTCTGTTGCTTGTCCCAACACCTGGGAATCCAGAAGACCTAACAGTTGATAGATTAGGCTTTCAAGAATGTATTTAACCTTTCCCCAAACTCAGTAGCTTGGCATCTGTAACTGGAGGATGTGGATACATCCTTCCAAGAGCTAACTTCCTTGTTGTTCTTGCTATGTGCCTTCAAGTTGACTTTGATTTATGGTAACTCTGTCAATTTTAATATACACTTGTCCTTCACTGTTCGTAATCTTGCCGTTCGTGTCCCTCTCTCCTTCCCAGACGGCAAGCTGTGAGGGACAAAATGGTGTGTGTGCTCAAGGTGCATGTGCCATGCCACACATTTCATGCTGCATGCAGAAGTGTGCCCCCATTGGAATCAGTAGGGCTCCAATATTGGTGATTTTCCCAATTTACGGGGTGTGTGTGTATCCAGAACAGATCTTCCACAAATTGGGAGGGGCGACTGTAGTGCAACCATAACACATGAATGGCCTGGATAAAACCGCTTTGGCCCAAAGGCTTTAAGAAAAAGCCAGGTTTTGACTTGTAGTGGTTTAAGGTTGGACTACGACTCTGGAGTCCAGGGTTTGAATTCCAGCTCAGCTGTGTAAATCCACTGGATGACCTTGGGCAAATCACATGCTCTCATCCTTGGGGAATCAAAGACAAACCCCCTCTGAAGAAATTTGCGAAGAAAACTCCATGATAATAGGTTTACTTTAAGATTGCCATAAGTCGGAAATGACTTGAAGGCATACAAAAACACCCAAAGGATCCCAGTGTTGGTGCCAGTTGGGCCTGCAGGGGGAGGGAATTCCACAACCATGGTGGCACTGCAAGAAGGCACTTTTTATGTATAAAATAAAATATATAGTCCATCCCCCATATCCACAGATTCTTTATCCATGGATTCAACCATCCACAGAAAATATTTTTAAATACATGAAAATATATTTAAAATATGTGATAATATTTTTAAAAAGTATAAATACCCAAAAACAAGCTTTGGTTTTGCCATTTTATATTTGGGACACCATTTGTTGCACCATTGTATTTAATGGGATTTGAGCATCCTCTGATTTTGGTATCCACAGAGGGGTCCTGGAACCAAACCCCAGCAGATACTAAGGGTCTAGTGCAGGGGTAGGCAACTTTTACCTACCTCGGGCTGGTCCGCTGGTCTGGAGAGGGGGGAAATGGCAGCGCGCACGCTCGCTCGCACATGCGCAGTACTTCTGGCGTACTGCGCATGCGCGAGTGAGCTGCGGTCACCATTTTGTTTTCCAAAATGGCAGTTGCGCCTCATTTGCGCATGCGCAGTATGTCAGCACATGCGTGAACAAGTCGCAGCCGCCATTTTGGAAAACAAAATGGCAGCCGTGACTCGTGCGGCGGCAGGACCAGGCTGGGGCTTGTCCAAAGGCCTCACGAGGCCGGGGCCGGCCTGCTGGCCGAAGGTTGCAAACACCTGGTCTAGTGTAAGAGAATCTATAAAATAAATAATAAAATTAAGTGGAAAGTTTAATGAAAAAATTCTATTTATTAATTTATTTCAAGGATTTATATCCCGACTTCCTTCCATGGTGGGATTCATAGAATCATAGAGTTCTTTTAATATCCTTGGATGTAGTTCATCTGGTCCTGGAGACTTAAATTCATTTAGTTTAACCAGGTATTCCTGTACCTCCTCTTTACTTATTTTGTGCTGCATTTCCCCTATTGTGTCCTCTGCTCCATTTTCCTCAGGTTGAACACCCTTTTCCTTTTGTGAGAAAACTGAGGCAAAGAAGGTGTTGAGTAGTTCTGCCTTTTCTCTGTCCCCTGTTAGAATTTCTCCATCTTCTCTGCACAGTGGCCCTACCATTTCCTTCTTTTTTCTTTTGCTACGGACATACCCAAAGAAGCCCTTTTTATTGTCCTTAACCCCTCTAGCAAGCCTGAGCTCATTCTGTGCTTTGGCTTTCTTGACTTTAGCCCTTCATGTGCTAGCTATTTGTTTGGATTCCTTTTTAGTGATTTTCCCCCTTTTCCATTTCTTATACATCTCCTGTTTAAAACTTAGTTCAGTTGAAAGTTCTTTTGTATCCAACCCGGTTTCTTGAGACATCTCCCATTTTTCCTTCTCATTGGAACAGTTTGAGATTGTGCCTTCAGTATCTCCTTTTGAGATACTTCCATCCATCCTGAACTCCCTTCTCCTTTAGTATTCCTGACCACGGGATCACTCCCAGTGTTTCCCTAAGTTTGTTGAAATCAGCTCTTCTAAAGTCTAGAATGAGTGTTTGACTATGCCTAGCTTTTCCTTTCCACCGTATAAAAAACTCCAGGAGAACATGATCACTCCCACCTAAGGATCCCACCACTTGCACCATATTGACCAGGTCATCCCTGTTGGTTAGGATCAGATCTAAAATAGCTGGTCCCCTTGTTGCCTCTTCCACCTTTTGGACAAAGAAATTGTCTTCGAGGCAAGTGAGGAATTCAAGGCAGATAATATGAAATTTAAAAAATGAAATAGGTCACCCAGTGGGTTTCTGTGGCTGAGCAGGGATTTGCCTCCCAAAGTCCTAGTCCAGCACTGAAAACGCCACTATGGGGGTTCAACCAGCTCAGTTAAAAAGTACCAACTTCACTTTCCTTCTTACTTCTCCTCTCTCCTAGATACATGATGGAAGCTTTAGTAAAGGCTGAAATAAGGGGCACAGTTAGCGAGGAAAACGATGGGTCTTCAGAGAAAGACCGGGACAGTGACAGTCTGGAAGATGACTTCTTCAACATCCGGCCCCGGGGCAGGAAGTCCGCCGTGGACAGTGCTGATGAGGAAGTCTGGGATTATCTGAAGTGTCCCAGCCGGGAAGTGTCCTCCCTCCACGCTTTTCCACGGGTCATGCAGAATTTCCTCCAGTACAACACCGGCATGCCTTCCAGCGCCGCAGCGGAACGCCTCTTTTGTGCAGAGTGCAATGGCGCGACGGTGAAAAGACATTCCTTGTCCGACGAGGTGTTTGAGCAGCTGGTCCTTTTGAGGCAGAACCGGGCGCTCTTTTAAAAACAACATTTGAAATGTAGTTTTTCGAGTGTATAAAATATTTCTGCACATGGGGGGGGGGGTATTTGTCGCTAGAGAGGAGGCAGAGGTGGGCATATTGTTGTGCCACTCTGTTATTATGGTATTCTCTTATACTATTATTAATCCTATGGATAAAATTACTTTTTATTCTATCCTGTGGCTGTGTGTGTGTTTCTTTTTAATGTCATAGGTTATCCAGATGGGTTTTGTACTTGTCTCATTCAAATGTGTGTTGTCTCTTTTTTAATTTTTTTAAATCTTTAAATTAACAATAGATTGGTGAATTGAATAATGAGAATATAAAGAGTTACTTTGAAAGGTGTTGGGGGGAGGAGGTTAGAACTATAAATGAATTAGAACTATAAATGTAATCTATAGCCATAATTATATGGCTACAAATTACATATAATTATGGTTATAAATTACATTTATAGTTCTAATTTATTTATAGTTCTAACCCCCTCCACACACACCTTTAAAAGTAACTCTGTGTTCTCATTCTTCATGTATAAATCTATTACATATAAGTGTAATTTATAGCCATATAATAGTATTTACACAGCAAAATATAGTAAGATATAGTACTGGTCGAGTCTCCCTTATCTGAAATGCTTGGGACCAGAAGTGTTTTGGATT